CGCCGCCTTGCAGCACTGGACCATCCGCGGGCCCGAGGCCAGCCTGGCCCAGCTCATCAGCGCCCTCCGCCAGCACCGCCGCAACGACGTGGTGGAGAAGATCCGAGGCCTGATGGAGGACACCACGCCGGTAATGACGGGCTTTGCTCAAAACCTCGTCAAAGTTTTGACAAGCTCTTATGTCCCGCGTGTTGTGGTTTGCATGTATCTTTGAAGGTCACCAGCAGGACTTGAGCCCTTGTGTTGGGGAGGCAGAGGAAAAAGCATCCCCCTTTAAACTTACTCTTAAATGCTGTAACTAAATGCCCAGGACTTTGTGAGAAGGACCAAGGATCCCTGAGCACTAGATGTTGCCATTGTGGAGCAGCAAGTCGCTTCCTCCAAGGCTGGTGGCATGGGGGTTCCATGTGTGCTGTCCTCCAGAGCTGTTGCCCTTCTGTGGCAGCTCTGGCCTTAAAACGAGCTGCCCCGTGTTTTGGGAGAATAAATAAATTGCTGCAGGATATTCTCACCGGGGTGTAAGTTGTTGGGAGCTGCCTCGGTGACCTTTGTGGTTTGTTTTGGCCACCCCTGCCTTACCTGTTATCAGCGTGCTTTTGGGTTTTTGCCTCTGATAATTTGGTGATCTTCTGGAAATGTTTTTAACGGTGGTGGATGGGGCTTGTCCCATTGGCTTCCAAGTTCAGAAAAACACCTAGATGGATGTGGGGGCGGTTGAGGGAGGACTCTTCCCCCTAAACCAGTTGGTGAAACATCTCCTGTTGGCCTTAGCAGTGACCCAGACCCAAAGGGGAACGAGTGGGTGCCTGTGAACCTCTGTAGGCACTTGGTGAAGGGCTGGCAAGGTGGACCTTCATGTATAGCAAAGACTGTGGGGCAGAGCGTTCGTCAGGGCAGGGGATTCCTAAATCCCACTTCGACCATCCCAAACTTTTCCCTATAAAAGGGACCGTGGTCCCCTCACCGTGTCAAGCATCCTGAGTGACTTCATTTAGCGTACCAAACGTCTTGGTCTCTTGTGACCAGGGTGTGAAATCACAAGTTTTGATATGTTAGCAGGAGTCCGTCCTGGGCTTCATTTCCAAGACCCCAAGTCGAATGCGTGCCAAGTATCACCCTGTGTGCCCTGCCCAGATTTTGGGTAGGCAGGTTTGCTTTGCCAGCTGCGCGCTCACTCCTGCTTCCGCTGAGTTGCCGCGTGTGTCCAGGGTTGGGCTTCTTCTTTCCAGCTCCTGGTAATTAGGCAGCAAGTAACTTTCTCGTTTTCCTACAGTGTTCCAAAATTATTTTTTTTAATCTCAAAGATGGAAAAAAGCAAAGTGAAAAGCCTGGGATGAAATTAGGGTTGGGAAAAGGAGAGAGGCAAAGAAAATTGTCATTTTGCACATGTGGATTAAAGTTCCAGTATGTGCAATGTCCCAGAAGGACACGTCCTCTTGCTCTCCTGGAGCAGGTAGTAACCTCTGTCCTCCTAGTTACTGCTTTGACTTTAAATGCTACAACAAAGTGCTGGGCTAGGACATCAGATAAAACGTAGGGCTTGTTCATCAGCACAACCCTTAATTAACAGAGTTGGGTTGTGTGGTGCTCAATGCTCCTGAGCCTTGCGCTGTTTTGGCCAAGACTTATCAGGTGGTTCTTCTCAAACAGCACAAAAATGCGGGTGGTAGCTCTAGGAACGGGGTTTATTGGGTCACCTTTTGGGATGGGGGACTCCTGACAACGGAGTAACCACGAGCCAGTTGTTCATCATAGGCTCGTGCCTGTGACTCTGAAAATGCAGCAAGTGGATGCTCCAGAGAATGAGCAAACCCAAATCACATGAATACTTGTAGGCAAGTCTTCTTCTGGACTTCCTGACCAGCTCTCCTGGAGGATGTTTATCTTTGTTTTTTAAAATAGTATGTTGTGTTCCCCAGCATCCAGCAGCACCTGGAGCCAGGTGGTCCCCCGTGGCTTTCACTTGTTTTCCTAGAAATTGGTAAAATTGGGTTGCTGATCTTTCAAGCAGGTGGCTCAGGTGGGGCCACATGAGAAATGAGGCTCGTTTCAGTAAAGGAGCTATTTTTTAACAAATTAACCCAAGCTGGCACATCCTCCTCCCCCCATGCATCTGATCAGGCTTTTTCAGATGAGTGTCCCTCGTGATCAGCCTTAGGTGTTGGCCATTCTTCTGCCCTGAAGATCCTGGACTAGTTGCTGCGCTGAAGCAGCACGTGGGATGTCGAAGCTCAAAAACACCCCAGGGTGCAGATTCAGCACACTGTGTTTCTGCAAAGTATTAACCTGCCGTAACCTGTCTGCCTCCTCTCCCTGAATCAGCGCCCGCACTGTGGATGCGGGCGGTGATGGAGAAGCCGTGGGAGGATGCAGAAAGCAGAGGGAAGAGGCTTGTGCAAGGAAGACTGAAGCCCTGGAGCCTTGTGCTGAGCTGCATCTCTGTGGTCCGGACCACGAGCAGCCGGGGGAGCTGACTGCTCAACGCTGGGAGCAGGCAGTGAGGTCATTTAACTTGTTTTTTTGGTTTTTTGTTTTTTAAAATCTGTTGGTTGGAAAGCCTTTAATTAGAACTCATCCAAATTTGGCTCATGGTGATTTATCCATCCAAACACAGACAAATTGAGGCGGTTTCTCTCCATATTGAACTGGTTTGATCTGAAGGAGCAAACGCCCTGTTGGTGTCAGGAGTGGGCGCAGCGCGGTGCTGCGCATCTCCGGCACCTGGCCCTGCACAAGTGGTCTTGGGAAAAAGAAAAAAAAAAACAAAAACACAAAGAGGTTGTTTTGTGCTGTGGAAGGAGTGAGGATTCTCATAAGTGGTGAGCATCCAGTGCCTGCTCGTGTGTCCTAGATGAGCCTGGGAGGGATGTGCGGGTGGCTGTGCTGTCCGGGATGCCTTTGGCCCTTGCCCAGCATCCCTGGGTGCCAAAGGGGGTTTTTCCCTATCTCTCTCTCTCTCTCTGTGGTCCGGTATCCTAAGAAATCACTGACGCCCCTAACTTATAGGTAGGAATTGTGTTATTGGGTAATACAGCTCTCGGACAGCAAATTGGTACCCTGAACCCAGCCAGCCTCCCTTCGCCATCCCATCCCACCAGCTGTCGTGTCCTTGCCCCAAATTCTTTATCTGGCGTCTGGCTTCAACCTGTGAAACCCGCAGAGGCGAAGCTGCTCTCTCCCCTGGTGCTCCGTTCCCTCGCAGCCTTCTGGGCATCGAAATCTAAATATTTACAACCCCCGACAGGAATAGGGGAATTAGAGGCTCTGGTGCGTTACGGTATGTGGCAGGAACATTTTCCTTCGGGTAGGGAAGGGCTCTGCTGAAGGCTCACCGGCTTTTTTAGCTGGGGAAGATTATGCTGGTTTTGCATCGCGCCGAATGAATTTAGGTTAAAACGAGATTAGCCCTCTGAATTGCTTTGCTATGAGGTTTTGTTTTTTTTTTTTTTTTTTTTTTTGCAGCTGATCCAGAAAATACAGCAAGCACGGCAGCTGTGGGAAGGTTTTTTTGGGGTGCATTTTAACTCGAAAGGCTCCTGTTAAAGGCTGGCCCCGGCCACGAACGCTTCTCCAGCTTGAGATGTGCAAAATCTCTCCCCTTGCAGGCAGGCTGGCTGGGCAGCGGCGTGCGAGCCCAGGTGCTGTTTAGCGAGCACGGGCACACCCCAAATTCGTAGTGCTGACAAGAACAAAAATAGAGGACGAGGCGGGCAAGGGAGGAGGTTTTCACTGCTGTCCCAGCAAACTGCACTTCTCCATTTTGGGGTTAAAACCACAGAAGTTCAGTGCAGCATGGGCACTGGGTAATGGGATCTTTTGGGGGGAGATAAGAGTGTTTTGCAGATACCAAGGGGTGGCTGTGCGTGCCCAGGCTGGCCTGGGGCGTTGCTGGCACGGCTGGCCACATTTGCTACTGCAAGTGTCCTACCGTGAGCAATGCTTTAAGCTCTTACCGTTTTATTTATGGCTCTGCTGGCCTCGGCTGAAATATTTCGGGGAATGGATGGAGGAGAAGCAAACAGCCTTGCTCAGAGCATTCAGCAGTGCAGCCTCAGCAAAGCTTGAAAAAATAATAAATTAATGAGGGAGATGTTGAAAATGGAGAGGGGGAGGCTGCAGCCCCCGAGCCCAATGAGATTTAGGTCCGTGGCTAATTGCGTGCAGCGGATAATCCCGTGAATCAGCGGATATGTCAGGGCTGGGTCTGGTGTGAGGCTGAGCTGTGGGGTTTAGGGGGGATGCTGGAGGAGAAGAGGATGTGAGAGCAGCCCTATGTCCAGGCGCGTGGCTGTGGCAGCGCCTTTCGGCTCCTTAAAAAAAATTTGCGGGTCAAGCCCCTGGGGGAGGGGGGGCCAAGAGCCTGGAGCAGCGTTCCCCAAGTCCAGCCCCGACTGCTCCTGCTCATCCCCTTCGTTTCCTCTTTTGGCAAAGCAGAACTGGGCTGGACCCAGTAATTAGTAATTAATTTTGTGCTTTGTTAACCTTGCACGTCTGCGGCAGAGCGAGGGTGAAGCTGTTGGATGGATTTCCTACCCGGGAGGCTGCCGCGTGAGGGCTGGGGAATGCCCAGGCAGGAAAAAACCAAAATTGCATGTAATTTTTCCTTCTGAACTTGTGTGAGGCTTTATTTGAGGCATAAAGCTGTAGGATAAAGTGGCCTGAGCCCCAGGGAAGGAGTAGGGCTGGTTGGGTTTTGCTGGGATGGGCATCGCTGTTCTCCTGCAGATTTGCTCTAAACCATGGGTTGGTTTTCTGCAAACCAAGGTTGGGTTTGAACAGGGTGGAGAACATGCAATAAACAAAAATTTAATAATTTATAAAGTAATATAAATAATATCAACACAAAAATATGAACTTTATAGTAGATGTGGTTATAATTTAGGTTTTCCTGCTGTGGTAGCCACATCTCCGTGGGTCTGTATTTGCAGTATATTGGGCTCAGGAGTGCAAGATGAAAGGAGAAGATGGTGGGGTCAGAACAAGCTGAACTTTGTACTGACTGACGCAGCCTGTAGTTGAGTTTTGACACGCGCCATGGTGAGAAGTTTCCACTCTTCACCATGGTTTGAGTTGGAAAAGTGGCTGGGGAGCACTATAGAAAGGGGAAGTTACACAGCGCTCCG